GGTATAAGGAAGAGACTTGACATGTCTGGTGGGGGACTCATACGACTGTGGATGTAGGTTGAAGGCAGGACCTGCAATCTCTCTAATGTGGTGGAGGAGAGACACGACATCTCTGAAAATTGGACAAAGGACTCTGATAAACGGGAGGAGAAGGGATCTGACTACTTCCAGATAATCAAGGAAAGGAGTCTTGACATCTCTGAGAGGAGAAGAGTAGAAAGTCTGGACATGTGTTAGTATGTAGTCAGGGTTAAGATGAGTTAAGCTGATTGTTGATCTACTTGAGGGATGCAAAAAATGCTCCAGACATCTTGTGTAGAGTTTGGTAAGGGGTTTATAGATTGCACATCCTGGTATCTTTAGAGGAGATAGACACAGTACATTTTTTTCATGGTTGGAAGTTAGCTTCTTCTTAGCTTTTTCTGCTAAGAGAAGGTAATGCATGGTTTCTTTAACTTTACACTTACCCAGGGGTGGAAATTAACACCCAAAATGTGGATAGATTTTTTGTTTGGTGGCTAAATGTTGGAAGGCTACCCACATTGTATAAAATGTATTCAGTACGGTATCGCCATACAATATCTATTTAATGGTAGCTAACAGTAGCCTGGCATTCTTGTTTGTTGTGTCACAGTTAAATGGGTTCCCGCTGTACATTTCAGGTGACTTGTGCTTGATTGGCGTAGATTTGGTGGGAGGAGGATTAAGTTGAATGATTAAGAAGCATCTAGTAAGTTTATAAAAAAATTTACTGTTATGTTTTAAGTACACTTAATAGCAATAAAATACTTCAATCTGGCGTCTTCTTTAAGTTTGTATTGTATTATCTCAAGTCAAAGTACTAAAACAAATGTATACATGTGTTCTGTTCTCGCTAAGTGTTATCCCCACAAACGTATACTCAGCTATACAGACAGCTAAACATTCTCTTAATCAAACTTCAAGCAATTGGCTGATGTGTTGGTTTTGGCAGTTTAATCAGGTTTTAGTGTAAAACTGTAGACAAAGAGCAAAAAGGATACACAAATTAAATCACACAAAGCCTTTTTTAAGAGCTATATGATATATTACAACACCATATATAAACAGGAGGACCAATGTTATTTGGCCAAGTACAAAGAGTAATACAAAGCAAACCCACTTGCTATATGCCAGCATAACAAACAAACTCATGTGGCTGTCAGGCAAAATCTGGAGAGGAAGTGAAGCACTTTTTCGTTTCTGCAGTTAAAGGTTCAGTGTGTAATATTTCTCAGGATTTATTGACAGCATTGCAATATAATATCTATAACTATGTTTTCAGTGTTGTCTAAAGACCTTACATAATGAACCATTGTGTTTTTATTACCTTAGAATGAGCCATTTATATGTACATAACTGCAGGCACCCCCTTCTGGTGGTCGCAGTATTGTGTCGTCATGTTTCTACAATAGCCGACAACGGACAAACAGCGCTACAGAGCGTGTTGAGTCATCACAGGATTCTTCTTCTGCTTGTATAATCCGGCAGTGTACATTAAATGCATCCATAGAAGAAGAGGGAATAATAATAATAATATGCGGTCTGAGTTGTCTTCTGGTTTATTAGAAGTAAGAAGAGAAGTGACAATTGGACAAATAAACGAGCACACATGTTTTAGCACGAGAGCCGACAGTAAACTGGCCATAATCACAGACAGACCTGGTGTGTTTCTCCTGTCCACTTCTGCAAAATAAGTAGTTGGATTAATTTCATGTGGCCTTGTTATTTTCTTGTTGTTTTTTTGGGGGGGTTTGGCTTTTCCAGTTACGTTAGCGAGACAATCAGCTGATCAGTAAGGCAACGTTAGCTTACAGCATGGAATCATCAGCCAGCTAAACTTTTACTGCTCTGGTAGAAAAAACATGTAGTTGGATTAATTTCATTTAGTTATTCTCCATTGCTCTGCTTTGGCTTGTGGTGTAAAATATATAATTGGCTTAATTTCATGGATTGAATCTCTCTCTCCACCGCTCTGTTGTGGCTTTGTCGGTTACGTTCGTGAGACAATCAGATGATCAATAAAACGTAGCTTCCAGCATGAAAGCTCAGATCAGCCAGCTAAATTTTTACTGCGCTGGTAGCAAAAAATATGCAGTTGGATTGTAATTTAATGTAGTTATTCTACAGTGCTCTGTTATGGCTTTGCAATGTGGACAGAAATGTGCCCTTACCTTCCTGAGACAAAGCGCTGATGAATATTACTGGCAATAAAACAGTAACAGCATGGAAGCTCAGATCAGCAGCTAAACTTCTGTTGAATACTGCCTTGGTGTAAAACATGTATTTATATTACTGCCAATAGTGACACATAACATGACCGAGTGCCTATCAAGTGACCAATAATGAATACTTCCCGAATTTGCATTTTAAAAGTTTTTTTTTTTTTTGGATAGAGCTTTGCCACTGTGCACACAAATGTGTAATTTGTACTTTCACATGCTAAATGCCCATTAAAGACGTCGCGCCGTTTTGCCAAACTCAAATTATGGCAATTAATACTACTTTGTGTTTCTGTTGTATTTTAATAAATTAAGACATTATGGTAAGATTTTCAGATTGCTTATCTAATTAATTAAGCAAAGCGAGAGGAGCCTTGATCCTCCCCTGACAATGCCTTTGTAAACTTCATGCATTACGTGGTTTATAATGGACTGTGGTGCAGAAACAGTGAGGCTTACATTTCCTGTTATCGGTCAGTGGTCTTACTTGATGCACTAGATGTGATAGTTTTTGAGATATTCTTTATTTACTTTGGTATGTTAGTCCAGATGAACCAACCCTCCCAAGATGTAACAAAAAGTATGATTACAGTGCAGTAAAATAATGTATTACAGGACTATGACACATCATGTACACCTCATTTCTTGGTTTAGCTGTTGTTTAAAAGTAACAATAATATTCACAATAAAATATGCTTTTATTGAATAATCAAGTAAATATAATTTCTTAATATATCAATGTAAAGAAACCTGATTTCTTGACTGGCAACTCTGCTATCTAACAGAGGACATCTTTTTTCCTGTCTCAGGCACCGTAGCGATACAACTTGCTTGGATAGGGGACGGGGGAGCAATTCGCAACTCTCACCACTAGATGCCACTAAAACTTACACACTGAACCTTTAAAGAGACAGTTCACCAAACAACCTCTAGGGGTAACAAAGCAGTGCAAAAAAAAAAAAATGCTTGGTCCCATTGGCAGGTGAGCCAAAAAGTTCATTTTCACCCTTGCACTTACCCACTTGCTTATATTTCAGTAGCTTTAGTTCCTAGTTAGCAAAGTGTGTAGCATGTTTTGAATTCAGCATGACTTTTGATTTTAATATACAGATGTCACTCATCTATAATGCAATGCAACTAAATGTCCAAAGGTGGAGGTAAATGAAGTATGAAAATGATGCTGGTTTTAGAATACCCTCTGGCTACCAGGGGTGCAGCTGCCAACTTTACATATGTAGCCAGACTCTTGCATAATTCAACTTAAAGCAGTGATTTTGCCCATGAAGCATTTCTACCAAGCCAGTATCAGTGTTATTGCTTATTTTGCTTTCCCTATCTGTGTGTGCATGATTCATTGTTATTGTGAAAATCTCTGATTCACAATTACCACCAGTCTGCCTTTTAAACCTTTGCCCTCATCTCAGAGATAAGGTTAAACCATATTTCCCTTCATTGAAACTAAACTAATTCTAGCGGTTTAACATTCAAGGATATGAGTTTCACTGTGTAGGAAGCAAAAGGGAAAATGAAAAGGGGCAAACCAAAGGGAAGAAAACAGGGGAAAGGGTGTGTACAAATGAGGCAATGATCATTGCTGACACACATTATGGATGGTAAATGCGGCCATGAGGGGGCGGCTGGAGGAGAGACGCAAGCCCTAATTGGAGCAGATGGGAGGAATTCTCATCTCATAACAATATCACAACTATTTACATGCTTACACCTCTGGCAACTGAGGTGGAGAATGTATTAGAAGGATGGAGATTATTTGTTTGCATGTGAGTTTAGAAGTGTTTTATGTTAGTATGTGTTTGTTCAAACATGTTTCTTTAACTATGCAGAGTTCTTGTGTTTGCGGTCTCCATTAGTCTCCCGAGTTTATAATATAGAAGAAGTGCAATTTCTCATTCCTTTTGCATAAACAAGTGCTGGGAGACTGTCTTCCCAAGAAAACGGTCCACAGAGGAGGTTGGGGTGGATGGATGAGTCAACAAACCGTCTGCTTTGCCATGGGAGAGGAGATTGTTCTTGGTGTCCTACCAATAATAAAACCTACCAATAATAAAACTTGGTTTCTTTTAACCTTGATTGTTGCCTAACCTAATACCAAGTAGGTATTATTGGAACCATGACATTGAAGATCCCCAAACAATGTAATCATTTTAAACCAAACCAACATTAATGAGGTACCTGTTCTATTGCCCAGAAATGACCAAACCTTACCCACAGCATTGTCAAATACTAAAACCGGTTTATTTTTCCAGTCGTGACTGTTATGGTTTTGGAAGACACAAATTATGCTGTCAGATGAGAAAAGTCTTCTATGTTTCATTATGGAGGTTGGTTACAAACAACTATTTTGTTGTTAATTTGGAGGACTTTGAGTAAAGGAAGAGGTTGATATTTGAAATAAATCAATGTACTCTGAGAATATGTATTTTTGAGTTTTCTTTAAGACTCAGTTTCATAGTGCACTTTAAGGTCACATTTCATTAAAGCAATAAGCAAATGTGTGCCTGGATAACTATTTTTGTTTTGCGCACCACTGGGACCCAGGGAGTATGGCTAAATTCAAAGAAGGAATTACAAAAGGCATTTCTTGACAAACTTCCATTCAGAGGTCTCCTGGGATAGGACAGCTTATCATCTACAGGGACATCATTTTCAAAAACAGTGGCCACTAGCAAACTGGCTCTTAATTCACAGTAACAATGTCATCTCAGACCTATCATGGTTTGCAAATGTTTGCATGTGTTGCAGGTGCTGTCCCCTCTGACATCATCGGTGCTGGCTGAGAGGAGCATCAGAGTGCTGGATGATAAAGTGAGTGTGACAGAGCTGGGGGTGCAGTTGGTGTCTGGACTTTCTCTGTCTCTACAGCTCAGCCCAGGAAGCAACAGGGCCATCGTCGCCACTGCAACTACACAGGAAGTCATTGAATCACTCAAACAGGTATGAATCCAAGACATCCAAATATGTTGCAGCATGTCACATTATTAATAATTCTTTAACCTACCACAAGAGGAGGGAAAGTCTAATCTTTAGTGTATTATCACTGTACTGTGCATTATATTTGGTCTACAAGGCTAAATAAGACTTATTATAGAGTCTACTGTATAATGTGCATTGTAATTTTTCTTTTATATAATTAATTCACTCTTGATATAGTTAAGCCATCTCTTTGATTTGCATATCGAATCACTGAACAGCTCTGTTATTCTTGTAATTATATTTTCAAATGGAAAACAGCTACCGACTCTTCCCTTGGAGAGAAAAGAATATTTGGCTTTCAGGAGAATAGTTTCAAATTCACTCTAGTGTTTCTATGAGCCTTTCTACTTTAATTAAGACTCACATTTGCTTCCACCGTGCTCTTCTGTTATTTTCCAGTCATTCTTATGCATTAGCTGCAAATGTTCATATTGCCGTTTTAGGAGTTATTTTCTGGTTATTTTTGGGGGTATTTGGGTTACTGCTGTTGTACTGATACCACTTTGTGTGTATTTTCTTAGGAGTCCCTCATTAGTGCTTGGCTACAGTTCAGCGATGGATCCATGACTCCTCTAGATAACTACAATGCTGCCCATTTTAACCTGGCAGCCACCTCTTTGGATGAACAGGTGGTGGTGGTGCAGCGCAGTGTGGCATGGAAGTGGCCCATCGTTGTTGCCAAGGGTGAAGGTCAGGGTTTGCTTGTACGTGTTGAAATGAGCCCATCAGAAGTGTGCCAGAAGGGAAAACGACATACTATCTTAGCCACTGGAATGGCAAACATACAAGTAAGGTTTGGTCAGCAAGAGGAGCAATACAGACAACCAGGAGACCGGCGAACACGCCCTGATCCTCCATATTATGGTGGATCTATCTCTGACATGGAAACTGGGTTAATCAACCGTGGAGCCACTACCATCAGAGGCCATGTCCCAGTGAGACCTAATGGAGGCCGTCTGTCAGCGGACAGCGGGGCAAGGGTCCCAAGTGAATTCTCTGAATATCCAGACAAAGCAGAGCTGCCTCGTAGCCGCAGCACTGATGAGGACTTGTTACCATCCCGTCGAGGCCTGACAGACCTGGAGATTGGTATGTATGCTCTACTGGGAGTCTTCTGCCTAGCCATCCTGGTTTTTCTTATTAACTGCATCTCTTATGCATATAAGTACCGTAGCAAGCAGCTGTCCCTGGAAGCCCCAGAAGCAATGCCCCATGCCCACGACTGGGTTTGGCTGGGTCAAGAGGAGGGGCTATGTCTGCAGCAACAGCAAGACGAACTGGGTGGAATCCTAGAGGAAGGTAGTCAACTATTAAATGGAGGTGTCCAGCGTGGTAATAATGGTGTTGGAGGCTGTAGTTCGAGCGGGAGGGATCACAGGAATGAATCGCTCAACTCACCCACCACCAAAAGAAAGAGGGTGAAGTTCACTACTTTTTCCAACATCAAGTCCAGTAATGGATGTCCTGTGCTCAGCCCATTAGCACTAGTGCAAACCAGTGAGATAAAATGGGTATGTCCGGACATCGAGCTTGGGGACTCAAAGGATCTTAGGAACTACATGGAAAAGCTTAATGAGAATGCAATTAAGAACATTGCATAGGGTGTACTGGGGTGTATCTTCAATGAACTAAAGAGAAACTCACCTGAATGCCTTCAGAATAAGGAGGAAATGAGGGTTGGGGGGAGGAAAGGAAAAAGGAAATGAATAAAGGGTGCAGAAACAGTTTGGGGCTGCTGTTAAACTGTACCTCACCATAACAACAGGATAGTGCGTTCAGCCTCTGTTGTTTCCACGAAAGTACTCAGAAAGAATAAAGCAACGGATTACAACGAGACACGATTTGCCACGACACCACAGCATAGTTATGAAGGGGAAAATGTGAACTTGATATTGTTGCTTAACTTAAATGTGTGTTGTTTGTCTTTAATTGAGATTCAGTTTCCTTTTCTATGCGCCATGTACTTTGTTTTATGTTTCTTTTTATAAATCATCATGTTTTAATGTTGTATTTGTTGTACTTTCTGGTGCTTTGTTGCTTTTTTTAAGAGTTGCTGTTTGCTCTGTGCCACGTCAGCAATTATAGATTCTATGGGAGAGGAGTGAAAAGCAATTTTGTATTGTATATAAATCCAGAGTTTGATTAGAAGGTATTATATGTATAGTAACATTTTGTAAAGTGCTGTTTGGTTTGGGTTTGGGTTTGTTTGTAGTTTAGTTTTTGTTTTGTTTTGTCTCCAGAAACCAGATCCATGCATGATGTTATTAAAGAGGAGGCATGTGTGTCTGATCTGGTACCTGAAATGAGAGTGTGTAGATAACTTAATACCAATATCTCTGGAGACATGTCAGTTTAATATTATTGTATTCATTCATCATGGAGCTGAGTTTTGGGTTGATTTCAGTATGTTGATATTAGTTTAAAAGTTTTGCTAGCCCATACATTTTCCCTTCTTATGTTAATGTTTGATCTGAGAATCAGTTGCATACTACACATAAAGTTGACTTTTTACACTACTTTAAATCTTGATATGGCCTGAAATTACAATTAGAAAATAAATTAGTTACATTCAACAGATTCAACAAAACACTGATCACCATGAAGAGAATCAATAGACAATCACATAAATAACGGATGGATCAATCCCTTCATTTATAATGTTCCATAAAAATCAGTCCAGTTGACAATTTGTATGCCTGAATTAGGTGGAGATCATAAACACACATCATTTCTTAAACTATTGTATATGAGATTTTGGATCCCATAAAAAGACTCTCGGCAGTGAATGAATAAATGATCACAAACTGTGAAATGAAAGCCCCAAGTCTGACCTATTCTTCTTTTTGTCATATGTCAGTATTGGTCAAGTCCATTGTTTTCTATCTCTGTTTTAAAATTGGCTGCTGGACTAATTAAAATTGAAGGTGACTCTTCTCCATCGTGCTGCTGTGTGATTCATTGGTTTGACTGTTGTATTCTCTCTGTTCGACTAGTGTTGCTCATCCAACTGGTTTATGCGAGTATACAGACAGTGGCTTCATCAAATATCAAAATGAAGTGCCTGTTGTTGACAGTCAGTGCAGCTGCCAGCTGAAGCAGGAGAGATAAGATATCTTGCACCTATCATCCCACCACTCAAAACCATCAATACATTCAGATATCCATGTATCTTCTTCACCCAATGTATGAGTGTTAGGTATTTATCTGTGAAAGACAAAATGGTCAGGTAAAAGATATATTTTCTGCTAAAATAATGGTGAACACAGGTAATAATTTACTAAGTTGTTGTATCCACCCTGACATTAGAATTAGATTTTAAAAAAAGTTTAAAAAAAGGCAAAAGCAAATGTCTTATAATGATAAAAATTCACAAGTGTGTACTGAATAAAGAAAGGCTTCTTATAGGGGCCAGGTCACTGTGCCAACATAGGTGCTATTAATGCACAAAAAAACCTTAAAGTTGCCATCCCAGATACTAAATGATAATACAGTGGAAAAAAAGAGGCAGTGGGTTGGAAACAGACAACTACTTAAATATAAGAAGTCAAATTCATTACTAGAAAAAGTAATGCTGTATCCAGTAGAGGCAAAGTTTAGCAACACTCTATCATCCGCATTAACAACCATGTAATTATACCAGTATCAGTACCAGTGAGTATCATTTGTGTATCATAATAAGCTGTTAAAAAGGTTCTAGGCCAAGTGCACCACAGCCCTAAAAAGCTTTTAACTCTCTTAGACAATCAGCATTTTTAAGAGGATCGCAGACATGCTCTACTTTCTAAAAGGGCAACCTAATTAGAGAATACTTTATTCAGTCTTGTTACATGTTAATGTGGCATTTCCTATGCAATTTGTCTTGCCCACTTACTGTACCTATGCATCTACTCAGATATAATTTGCACCCTAATTAAAACAAACCCAAGGACCTGTGCATTGACGACATTCCCAGGTCCCAAGTCTACGCATTGTAAACATTTTATTTAAAAGACAGAGCACTGTGATAGTGATGCTTTTTGGATGAAGTCAATAAATCTCAGTAGATGAGCAAAATAAAAGCCTGTGCAATATCCAAATGAACATGCATCTCTAACGTGCATCTCTACAAGGTCTTGCTACTACTACTTCCTGCTTTGCTACAATGCAGATGCTTTTTTTTTTTTTGCTCTGCTTTGTTTTCATCTAGCTTTTTTTTTAACTGCAGGTAAATCATCTGGAGGATATTTTTTTTGTTTGAATCTTCATTGGGAGGTAGGGCTGGACAATACAACAATAACAATACTTAACAATTTTTTTTCAATAACAATATAACAATAAATATTAAACTGTTTGATTTTATTCACTTGAATCATACACAAATTAGGACTACTTAATTTTAATCATGCATATTTGTTGACAAAGATTTTATCATAATTGTTTTGAATGTTCTGCCTCAGATTTGTGAAGTGATCCACTGCAGAAATTGATATTTATCGTGATAATTATCAATATTCAAAATTTTTAATCATGATAACATTTTTGGCCATATCGTCCAGCCCTATTGGGAGGGTAATTTATGACTGAAACTCAGGGTCGCGATCATCAACTTTCATTAAGAAGAAACTCATCCGCATTAAGAAGTGCACATTCCGCCATTAATAACTACTGAAGGATATTTGCATTGTGGAAGAACTCGATACTTGAATTCCTTGAAACTCTCCTCCTAAATTAGCTCAGCAGAACTCAACTCAGCACAATTTAAATGAACAGTTAAGTCTGTTGTTACAACTGACCTTGCTATAGAGCTTATGCATTTTATTTAATTTGTCTATTAGTCCTCAAGTCCACACAAGATCAACAACTGTTAAAAAAGCGGTACATCAGTGAGCCTCACCATGCCCTCTGTGAATGATCTTTAAAACTGGACAATTTAATTACAAAATTGAGAATGTCATTGACGGCATTGCATCTACCAGGGTTAAATCATCCTCAGGTAAACAAAAACTAACATGGTGAAAAACAGAATCCATAATGATCCAGAAAAGGGAATACAACTTTAACCTCACCTTAACACATTTAAAGAGAAACTCAACATTTACAATTTAGAACTGAGGACCAGCCAATCTTTTTTTTTGAACATCATCAGCAACAAAGCTGTCTGTGAAGATTCTAATTCATCCAGGTTATGAAAAATCTTCTTGGGTGAGTGGCGAAACGTCTTCAAGTATCTTCCACTTACCCTTGATTTAAACTTCCTTGGATAGTCTTTTTAGTACCCCCCCCCCCACACACACACACACACACACACACACACACACACACCAATTGCATTTGAGTTTCACTCAGTAATAAAATTAAAGTTATTACATAAGCCATTAAAAGATCAATTTCATGCAACAAAAAAAAAGTTCTCATCTACATCTATTGACTACAGAACTTTGGAAGAAATTGTGCAGCATCTTAAGTTGTCCAACTGTTGTCATGATGCTCTACCCAAAGCATCATTAAAAATATTTTCAGCTGTCTGGCGAAAGATTTACTGGCAACAGTCAATAGCTCTCTGTCATCAGATTTTCCTGAAAGCTGCAGTCACAAAGCCTCTCCTAATCTGTGACTACAGACTATAGACTAATATCAAACTTTACCTTTGATAAGTGATATATCTGTAAAAAGCTGTCTACCAACAATTAAGTAATGTTTTAAATCGTTACTTTGATAACTTTTAGTTTGGATTTTGGCCACACAACACTACTGAGGCAGACAGCTATCATTAAGGTTCTGAACAATATTTGTTTAGAAATTCATTCCCAGGCAGGATTTAGAGAAATTAATTCATGCTTTAATTTCTAGCAGGTTAGATTACTGTAATAGTCTTTTCTCAGGTCTCCGCAAAACACTCCAGCTCATTCAAACTGGTGCTGCTAGAGTTATAACGTTCTCAGGTCTCTTCACTGGCTTCCAGTGTGTTAGAGAGTACTGCTGCTTGTCTATAAATCTCTCAAAGGTTTAGGACCAAAATACCTCTTTAACTGTCTTTTACCTAATGAACCTTTTTGGCCCCCCAGTAGTAGAGGGCTACTAACTGTTTCCAGAGAGCAAAGTAAACATGGAAAAGCAGCATTTTATTGACTGTGTCCCACAAAGCTGGAACAAACTTCCACAGGATATCATACTTGCACAAACCTTGACCAACTTTAAATTGAGGTTAAAATGTTTATGTTCTGCTCTGCCTTTAACTGAACCTTAAATACTCATCTTGAACCACCTTGTTCTCTTATACTGAATTTGTCTCCATGTTTGACATTTGTGTTTCCTATTCAAATGTGTCTTCTTTTTTTTCTTTTTTTTTCTCAGATCCTACATAGTGGGCAACACCTGTTGAAGGATCACTGCTCTGCTGCTCTTCCTGAGGTTTCTTCAGTTTCTTTTCCTGTTAAGTTTTTTTGAGGGCTTTTTTCTCATGAGGATCGAGGGTGTGTGCTGTACAGATTGTAAAGCCCCTTGAGGTAAATTGTGATTTGTAATATCAGGGCTATATGAATGAAATTGACATGACCTTTAATTTGCATTTTAATGTTTATTTGTTTCTGGTGTTCTGTTCTTTTTTATTTCAATGCATTACATACACATTGTTTCATATGTTAAATTGCCTTTGGTGGTTTTGTCAGCTTCTGTCAGCTAGGGGCTTCTGGGCCAACTGTAATTTCCCTGTGTCTTGTTGTTACCCAACCTACTGTTGCACAGATGGTTGTCTTTCCTCCCTTCAAAGAAATGCTGCGTTGCATTTACCTCAGAAGTCGGAGGTCGGAGCTGGGAATGACGTCACTACCGAGTTGACGGCGTTCCAGTTAACAAGTCGGAAAACCTCGCTCTGCCAGCTGTTTGTTTACAACTAGCCAGGTTAGCTATTGATATGCCGGTTGATTATAAAAACGCATTCTGCGGTATTTACTCACACTAAACACTGTAGCAACACGTCCACAGACAGCTGTTGGACAGCACTTTGTGTACGAACATTTATGAGTCACAAGTACACAGAAGTGCTAATAAATAGTATAAACTACAGCTTTCACTAACTGTTGATACCCCGACAGCCATCTTGGATCACGAAGTCGGGGTAGTGCGGTTCTCCTGACTGAGTCTGAAATCCGACTTCAGGGGGCGTTCCAGTTGAAAGTTCCAATTGGGAACTCGGAAATTCCGACTTCCCATGTCAAATGGAATGCACCAAAAGTACAGCAGCTTTCTTGCCTTCAGCAGGGTCAACACATGCCCTCCTGACCTTTCTTCAATCCCTACCTTCTTTTGTTTATGTCAGCAGATATGGGTAGTGAAAGCAATGTTTCCCATAATTAGCCTATAATTTGGATAATTATTAACGTGGACGTATTTAAAATCATTTTTGATTAAGGAGCTGGATTGAGCTCTCTCGTGAACACCGCTGCACAAACCTGTCCAAAGTTAGAATAACCCCCCCCTCCCAACATGGACAACTAAGGAGAGAGGTGTTCTTTCCACAGCTGCAAGTACTACCATTACTGTGTCACAGTCTAAGATCCAAAGAACATGGCCGTCCATTGTAAACTTTATACGACCAGTCAACTGCGAACAATTCTACATCTGATTTATAGAAGCATCTGCTGAAGCAGCTCTGCAATGTGAAACTTGCTGAAAGAAACTCCAGTGCTGACCGGGAAGCCGCTACTGCCAGTGATGAATGCACTTGTCGGGAGAGAGCAAGGTAATTATTGTTTTGGATTTTTCATTAGTTTTTATTATTATTTTGTTTTGACTTTTTATTTTCAATTTCAGTTTATTTGTAATTAGTTTTTAACATGGAATTGCTAGTTTAGTTTAGTATTTAATTTTTGAAAATTTTGTTTTAGTTAAAATTGTAGCATCTCTACATTGTTTTAATAAATTTATGAGAATTAATAACAAATTATGAATTTTAATA